TGTGTTGACATTCCCCCTGTTTATTCTGAGAGAGTTTCTTGGCTGTTGCAGTCTTTTTACTAGACAGCTGGCTTGTAGGAAAGAGCTGCCTCAGTGACAGTTCAGCAGCTGCAGAATGACAGCAGAGCGTGCCCCCGGGAGATAGTACTGGCTTACAACAAGGCCAGCGGCTGTCGAGCAAAACCTGCTGCATGTTATAACCGTGTGCCCTGTGTTGCACAGTATCTGAGAGCACAGGAGCCTCAGCCGGAGCTGAGGGAGGAGTTCAACGATTCTCAGAGCATTTGGAGCAGCCAGCAAGGCACCCTTACTGACCATGGTCACTGGAGCAGGTGATTAGGTGCACTGTATTCTTGCTTAAAGAATAAAGGATGATTTTTACTTTTTTTTTAGATTTTAAACACATTTCAGTCAATCTGTGCTTATGTTGGTTTTGCTTCATGCCTGTTTTGTTAATACTTCGTAGGTTACTTCATGAGTAATTAAGGAATATTCTGCAGGTAACTCATGAAGAACTGTGATTACAGGAGCTATACTTTGACTCCATGAGATCAGACTGGGTTACAGGGCATCCGTTTTGGGTATGGTTTAGGGAATTATTATTTTCACTTTTTTAAAATGGAGCTTGTTGAATAACTAACACTAATTGCAGGCAGTAATTTCAGGTTTGGAAAACACTTTTATAGAAACTTGATTGGTTTTGTTCCAGCATGATATAATTAAAAAAAAAAAACACCACACATTTCTTTGCATTTACCAAGGTACGAATACCCGTGCTTATTGCTATGGGAAGTTGTCTAGAATTACAAGCTCTAGCATAGCAAATAAAAGCTGGTGATGCCAAAGGTACAACAGTTGCCAGATTGTGAAATACAGAGGAACTCCCTGAAATGGTTTGTGGAACTACCACTAAGAAAGACTGAACTCAACTCTTGGTCACTGTGTTTTATACCCATGTTAGGATGTGTTTTCTGCTTGGTTACTGTAAATCCTTAGGGCTGGAACATCAAAACAAAGCTGTGAGGCCACCCCCTGAGCTGAAAGGCTTTTTATCAGGCTTTCCAACATCACCCAATGCCCACGATGCTGCTTCTGTGGAGGAGGTGATGTGGCTGGCAGGGGCGGCTGGTGTACCAGAGCATGGCTCTGGGGAGCAGGCAGTTTCACACAGTAGCTGAACCCAGTTAACATCCTGCCGTGCCCAGAGAGGCCAGGGTCTTCCCCACCTAGTCTTCCCTCCAGCTGTACCAGCTTCTCTCCCTCCTCTGCACCCTGCCATTCTTTGTCCTGGGATTCACCTGATCACAGGATAGCAAGCCAGTGGAGCTTGCTAACCCAGCAAAAGTGTCCTTTATTTTCTTTTTACCCTCCTAGGCTAATTTTCTGCCATTTTACCAAGCTGGGTTACTGTATTGAGATGCCAGAATTGAATCCAGAAGAGCAGCAGCAGAGTGTGGTTGGGGAGAAAAAGTGAGGAGAAGCAAGATCCTCCTGTTTGTTTGGGAGTGGTGAGCTGTTAACTCGGCCCACACTATCTCCTGAAACTGCTTAAACATGAATAACCTAAAAGCTTTCTTCAGGTCCTCTAGAACCTGAGCTGGAGCCCTCTGAGTGCTCTGGCACCCCAGGGAGGGGTGTGATTTGGCAGCAGAGACTGGGTGAGTCCAGATCAGTGATTCTCCTGTTTGCAGCTTTCCGCGGTTGCTTCAGAGTAGCACTGATCACTCAAAGGTGGTGCTCAGTCACCTCTGTAATTACGACACAGCCCTTCTTGGCTCATGTCTGGGTTATTTGTTTCTCAGCTGCAAGAAACTCTTTCTGCACCTGTTTCATCTGACTTGGTTTCTTTAAGGCCTCTAGGAATTTATCAGGTGGTTTTCCTTTGTGGTCCTGTTGTTTGAGTACATTGAGGGTTTTTTGTTGGTTGGTTTGCCAGTTACTGAGTAAGCGGTAAGGGTGTCTATTTCAGGGGTTGGTCTGCTCAGGTCTGGGTAAGAGATGGCCAGCAGTTGTTAGTCTGTTTTCAGCTTCCAAGGCATCAAAGGTTCGCTTTCTCTCAATTTTCAGATACCATCCTCCTTGCTGGTCCAAGAGAGCTGAATGACAGCACTACAGCCCTCAGTGCTGGCAAGTTGTTTTCCACCAACTTTTCCACATGTGTTGGAAGGATGATAGGAGGAATCCTGTCTGTATTCCTGGAGCACTGGAGTAGGAAGCGGCTGTCTTTCATGGAGCCGTGCCCTGGAGGATTTATGCTGTATCATTCCTTTGTACCTCACAGCAGCTGTTTGGCTGGATTTATTTTTGGACAGGAGGGATGCGTGTTAGACAGTTTGAAGGAACCAAGTTAGTAATCAATCACATTTGTAACTCAGCTGGAAGTTCTTGCACTGGGGGATATGTCTGCTGATTGTGTGATGAGAAAGCAAAGAGAGCAAAGCAGGGCGGGGGGGCCATGTCAAGCATTGACTGTCTTTACTAAAGCAATCCTGCCTGAGCTGGATGTCCTGTGTCTTTGGAAAGATACAGCTACCCCATCTGGAACAAGCAAGAAGGCTGCTTTGCCCTGTGAAATGATCAAGCTCTTCCCATACCTAAGGCTCCTTTTGTATAGATGCATGTAGAGCTCCTGGTGAAGTAAATGCAGTGTAGCAAGAACTGTGCAGGGCCTTGCGGATTTACCCTTCACTTTGCTTCTGTCCTTACTGATATCTTGCTGACAGCAGTCACATATATTCTTCTTAAACAGGGTTTTAAACCAGAGAAGAATTTCTTTGTGCTGCTGAAATCTCCTAATTTGTCCTTGTAGTGGGAAAATTCCTGGAAAATATTACAGAGCAGAATGATACGTTGCTGTGGGATGTACCTGGTAGTATTTTAGGAGAACTGTAGCTTCCAGAAAGAGGTGATGTGTGTTTGTTACTGAGTGCTGTTGTTAATCATTTGTTCTTTTCTACACCTTACCCACCAAACAGTTATGTCAGCGCTTTCTGTCTTGAAGTTGCCCCCCCCACACCTAAAGTGGAGGGCTGCTGCTGCTGTTTTGAATATGTAGAGTGGGGCAGGTGAAGAAAGGCACCATTCTGAGAGGGGAAGTGAGAGTGTGAGAGAGAAGTGGGACGAGCAGGTGAAAATCAGGCTGGAAGAGGCGTGCTTCTAAAAGTGTGTTGACAAGACACGGCACCCTGCATGTGCCCAACGTGGTTCCTTTCCAAGCACACAGGGAGACGGTAAGATCTCAGGCTATGGGCCACATCTTTTCACCAGTAAGCACCATTAGGAAGAACAGTCCTAAGATGTGATGCTGTTTAGTACTAGTTCCCTGATTTGCTGCTGTTGTAATCTCGGCAGACAGGCTGGATTTGCAGACCTCTATTCTCCTAATCCTCTCGATTACCCAGAATCTGCACAGCAAAAAGAGTCTGGATTTCAGGCAACATCATTGACATCTTTTGATACTGTCCTCAGTTGCCTTCCTCTGTTTGCCACAAAGTGAAGCCTTGTTGCAGCATTCCCAGGCAATATTTTTCCCAGCTCTTCTTCATGTGGATACATGACGTGAGCACAGCTGGGTGCCTGGTGTCTTTCCTTGGCTTTCTTGTAAGCTGACTTCAGATCCTGGGTTTTGATTCAGCCTTGTGGTGTACGCTAGTTGTAGCCTCACTCAGTAGCGTGCCTGGCGGCAGCCTGCAAATATCCTCACCGTAGTGTTTCTTCGTGAGAGCTTTTAGAGCCTATGTGCCTTTCCAGTGGATGGAAAGGTTCAGGATGTCTCTGTAGCTCCAGCTGCGAGCCTGTAACAAGCAAGATTCAGATTGGCCTAAGGTAATCCTAGCTGCAGAGTGCCAATACTGATTTCCAGGCATGCACAGCAATGCATGAATTAGTTTTAGCTGTGCACCAACACTTCAGTGAAGAGGTGACATCTGGGTGTTATGACCATCAAGCAGGTGAAAACCAAAGTAAGCGTGGAGGTTGATCCCACAGGGTGGAAAGCATCATTGAGTGATAGGTGGAAGACTGGTAAGGTGCAGTACAAGTGCAGTCAGGTGAGTCCTAGCACATCTTAAGCTAATGCACTGAAAGCTTATGCTTGTGAGCAAGAACGTACAATGCAGTTTTTTGCTGCTGGTGTGTACTAAGAACCGGTGACGTTAGCATACAAAACTTGAGCTTGTAACAAGCCATATCACTTAAACTTAGCAAATTTCTACACAGATTTTATTTTTCCTAGGCTTCATGGAAGAAAATTGAAATGAACAAATATCAAGTATTTGTTGATTGAATAATAATCTTGAAATTATTGCAGTAGTTCTAATTCCCTGACTAGTGGCAATAGAAACTTCAAGTACAAAAATCAGCTGCATAATTCTGCAACCTAATTTCTTTCTGAGACATAATTTCCTCTCATTTTTATTTCACTTACTTTACTTATCATTTGAACTTATGCTATAGGGTGTTAAAGTTCCCATTTTCTGTTCTAATCTTTGCAATCTGCCAAAGAATTGGCTTGTGCTTTGACTGTATGGTGATGTTGTGCCCCTCACAAAGTTTATTTTGTAATATTATATTTTAATGATTTAGCCAGTTTTATAACTAGGACCTTGGAGACTGTAATCAGAGAAGTTCTTCTATGCCCGAATAGTAGCAAATATGTTAAAGATCTGCCAACAGCACCCTTACTGGTATAAAAGTGTGTGTTTGTGTGCATACATGTCAACATGCACACGTAAATCTAAGCATCAGCACATTATGGAAGAGTGATTCCTGTGTTAGCAATCGTGTCTGGTCATGACATTGGCAAGCAGGAAGATGAACTCAACAGAGATTCAATTGTTTATGCTGTTGTTTAAGATCTATTGTCAGCCTGATAGGTGTGGGGTTTGTGAATGGAAGGGCTTGGGAGTCCCTGCTTTTGAGGGTAGCATATGTTTTGAGGTACGGTTTAAAAAAAAAGTTTGAATTGTAACAATTTTTAAATAATGTATGTATTTCTCAAGGTCCGACAAGAATTAGTTGAAGAATATGAACAAGTTAAGAGCATTGTCAACACTTTAGAGAGTTTTAAAATGGACAGGCCTGCAGATATCCCTGTATCCTGTCAAGATGAGCCTTTTAGAGACCCCGCTGTTTGGCCCCCTCCTGTTCCAGCTGAACACAGGTAATGAGAGGCTCAAGCAGAGTGGGTGGAATAAAGTTGGGTTGCCATAATGTTATGTTCTTTTTTGAATGCATTTGTAACATGAAAATCACATTTCATTTACCCCTTAGTCATTTGTAATAAAGAATAAATATAATTCATTGAGGAAAAAAGTAATTAAACTACAGTTGGATTTATTGCTGAAGTTCTAAAGCAAGTCACTCCTTTATTCTGGTAAGAGTGACTAGCTAAGTGCCTGGAACTAGAGCCTGCTGCAGAGGTAAGTGGGCTTTTGGTGACAGTTGCCTTTCTCATGTGCAGGGAGAAAACTTCCATTTCAGTTTATTTAAGCAGTTGAATTCATTGATGGCTGAGGAGTCAGTAAGGAGCTGGAACTGAAGGATCTTGAAAGACATGGTGGTTAGAAATCACTCCGTAGCTACAGATAATATGACCTGTGTTTAATCCATTGGTTAGTTTTATTGCTAAACATGTTCTGTTATACATGGTGTTTCTCTTCTGTAGCCATTTTTAAGGTAACTTTAGTTAGCTAATAGTTTTCTCAAAATAGATGCTTGTGCATTTTTTGAAATCCCTATTTTCACCGTCATAGAGCTTGACACAGGTTGCTGGAAACAACAAATCCAATTTAAAAACAAGAATAAGATTTATCATGCCAACGTTTTTCTAAGTTTATAATAGCAAAGCATTTTAATGTGTGTATACTCACATAAGCAAAGGAACAAAGTAAAATGAGAGATCTTGGTTAACAGAAAGAAATGCCAAGTTTATTTGTAAATTTATATGCTTTATGATTATCAAACAAACGGATCTTCGCTTTTCAAAAAACCCTAAGAATGTAAGTGTAAAATAACATTAACGCTGATTACTTTTGTGAGTGGTAGAAATGATTATCAGAATTTTTGTGGTAATGTTACATGAAGTGCAAGATATATTTATTCTTGTATCTTTCTTAGAGGTAAAGGCCCAATAGTTCATCCGCTTTTTTAAGCTGGAATTTAAATCTTGTGCAAATGAGTAAGGAAAATTAGCCATTCTTCTATGCTGTTAAGTTTGATGAAAATGTGTACAAAGCAAAATGTAGCAGTTGTATCTAGCAGTGTATTTAAGTAGGTACTCTTTTTAAGCCATATTCCAGGAAACTGTTTTTAGAGTTAGCAAATTTTGAGTTACTGAAAACAAGAATCAGTAGAAGATTTAATAGGGGACACTAATTAAAGTTGGGTGATATTCCTGGTCATTTATTTTAGTTCTATATTTCAAGTCCAATCCCTAGAGCAAAATGACTGACACCTTGTCTTTCTCCTCGTGCCACTGCTGAGTTCTCTTTGACATTGTGGGTGACGCACACAAGTATAGGTGGTTGTAGTTCGGCTCTGTTTGCTTTTGCTTTCTAGGCAATTTTTACATTTTGACATTTTCACACAGGGGAATGAAGTCAGAGGTAGGAGGATTGTTTTAAAATTCTCCCTCCTTTGTTTTGGGCCCTGTCAAAGCTATTAGCCAGCGGGGTTTTTTTTTGTTTGGTTGGGTTTTTTTTACCAGGAATGTCATCTGGTTGTGTAGAACGTGGGCATATGAATGTAGCCTAATACAATCTCCTGGTTTGGAGTCAGAGGAAACTACAATTTGAAGACTTTTACTAAATTGTTTCCTCTTTTGTTACATGTGTATTGGTTTGTTGTAAGATTGGTTAGGAGTACTGACCTAATAGTATTGTTAATTTTCTTTTTTTCCACTGTTGAAACTTTTTTTCCTTTTGTATTTTTTTATTACTTTGGGTGTCAGACAGAAGCAGAAATATGTTGCTGGATTTGCAGATATAGGGAGATAAGACTTAGGGGCTTGTCAGCTTTAGTAATAATGCACTAAGGGAATTAATGAAATATTAGAATCCTTCCTTCTTAATGTTGCTCTTTTTTCACTGTTTTAGCATGTTTTTGTTGTGGTTGCTTGTTGTTAGGGCTCCACCTCAGATAAAACGTCCCAACCGAGAAGTAAAACCTTTGAGGAAAGAATCACCAGGATTGCAGCCCCGTGGGCCTGCGGGCAGAGCACACGCGGTATCCAAGGGTGAGAAGTCTGCAGGCAGCCGCGAAAGGGAATCTAGAGCTAGAGGAAGAGATGACAAGGTAAGAAGTGGGAAAGAACGTGCGGGGGGAGGAGTTATGGTGCAGCATGTGGCAAAGGGAAGCATTCTTAGTTTTAGTTATTTAATACAGATAATAATAAAAAGCCACAATAATCCCGTGCAAGAAAACTTGGTGCTTTCCTCTTGCCTCATGGACAAAGCATGTATCATGGGGATATTTAGTAATAATGACACCAAATTAAGGAAAGTTCTGTCATGTTTGCTCTGTCTTGATTTGAGATTTTTTGATATGGAGGAAGCATGGTGGCCTGTTGCTGGGGGTTTCTTACAATCTCAGTTAGACCATGGGCTTGACTCTAATCTGTTAGTGTCAATCAGGCATAAAGTCCCTTCTCCTCCTTCTCCCCCACCCTTTTTTTTTTTTTTAAAAGGAATCCAATTCAGGTCTTTCGTAAAGATTTCCATGTAAAAAGTGCAAAAGTGAGAGCAGTGCCCTTCTCTAGAATTTAAGCATTATGAATGGAGTTCCACAGTACCATTGCCTCTGCCATACCATAGTAAAATTTAGGTGTGCCTAGAAGTCCAGGCTAGTTCTGTAAATGCATTGATGCTAGGTAAATCTGTGCCAAATTACTTGAAGGTATGTATTTGAAAATGATGTGAGGAAGACGTAGTAAAAGCAAACTCTTAGCAGCTTTCATTTTCTTTAGTTTATGAAAAGGGGTTTGTATTTATTATAGCATTTAGGAAGATGCTTCTTGGAAAGGATTTGTTTTGAAAATAAAAACAATGACATGAATTAGAATAAGTTGGAGATTCTTTCCTCTGAAGACCTATGAAAAAGAAGCAGTAGTGAAGTGAAAGAAAAGGAGAAACAGTGATTCACTATCAAGTAGTGATGTCAAAGGCAGGACTGTTTTGTGGCTGAAAAAAATGTCTGTGTGCAAATTGCTGTTTCTGAGACACTTGCATTTTTAAATTTAACTGTGGAGTCAGTGCCAGGAACCCAAGGAATCTGTGGTATAAATGATACAAGTCGAGAGTGTACTGAAGCGGCTTTACATTCCTGACAGATATGAGAAATCCCTTCCTATGGGGGGCACACAGTATTGTACAGATCTTGACAGATGAATAAGAAAGTATTTAGGCCAGTTTTCTTCCAAATGAATTTGGTTAGTCCCTTCATGGCCTTTCTACTACAGGTTGCTTCTTCACAGCGCAGAAGGAACTCAAAGATACGCTTTTTCCATCATGAATTGCTTTTCTGATACACATGAAAAATATTAAGTAATCCCAGCCCTTATTACCATCAGTAGGTAGGGCCAGGCACATTTTCAGCAGTGCCACTGAGTGACTGCACAGATCAAGCATTTTAGAAATCTCTCTACCCTGGATCCATAAGATTTAAAATAACAACTGTGCATTCTGCAAGCTATAAAAAGCTTGTGAAGATCTGTGAAATTATTTACAGTTCTGCCAGCTATACGGGGAATTGGAGTCATGGTGTGTGACAGGTTCACCAGATGTGCTTGTGTAAGGCAGCCTTCAAAGTCTTAGCTCTAATGAGGGTGAACTCTGCTCTCGAAGCTTTCCAGTGATGAGCATTATAGGGCTTTACTGTAAGAAGCCCACAACAACATGACTTGTACAATACTTGTCTCTGGGAATAATGTGATTAGCAACACTACTGCTGTGAGGTGGAGGAAGGGTCATGAAGGTGTTCCATTTAATATGGTACATTTTAAACGCTGCTTTTATCTGAATAAATTGGTCACTAGGTGGCAGAAGGAAAATATGTCTACTCTTCAAACAATACCAATACATGTTCTCTTATTTTCCCCTTTGTCTAGCTACTCGGTGGTTATTTTACTTTCTTTGTCTGGGGTATGTACCCAAAAATCACCCCAGGTTACAAATTCTCACGTGTTACATGATGATTTTTGTAAGGGATCCATGATTTTCCTTTGAAGAAAATTCTGAATGAAAGAGGAAGTAGCCAGGCATGGGAAGTGAAAGAAGTTAGTGCAACTTTCCATATTTTACACACAGGCATGAAAATAGGTTTAACTTCCCTTTCAGTTTTATCCTTCCTTAGTTTGCAAGTGTTTAAGTTCTTCAGTTTGTGAACTTAAAGCTACAAGAAGCGTACCTCTCTAGCCTAGTATGTTGAATCAAAGAGGTTCGGTAACTCTTCATGTTCAGTTAAAAATAATAGGGCAAAACTGAAGCTTCAAACTAAGTAACCAGCTATTTCTTTTCTCATAGTAAATGTTTCAGCTCTGTAGTTCTTGAGTTTGAGTGCTTGGCTGGGACTACTTAGAACATGTAATGAACTTAGATGCCATATCCATTTCCTAAGATGTTGGTTGCAGTGTAATAGCTTGTATGCTGTCCTGGCTGTAATATCACAACGTAATATGCATATTTATTTGTGATATTTTTCAAGATAAATACAGGCATAGTATGTATGTTTAAGAAGTGTTTTGCCTCACTTGAGGCAAATGCCTTCTTTCACCGTTTCTCCTCCCCAGACCGTATCATCTTTTCATTCTGGGATATGAATTATTTTCATATTGGGATAAGGAGTTTTAACCTGACTATGCCTGTAAAATGACCTTTTGTAGTGCTATATAAAATAATTTTGAACTGCAACCCACCGGATGGTGTTTATCCACTAAACCCTTATATTTACGTGTTCCTTTTTCTAAAATACTGCTTTCAAGTGCTTCTTCCTTCTTAGTTCCACTGGAAATTATTAGGCTTGTTCTCAGGGTACCTTCTGCTGAATCATTGCCATGAATTTTAGCTTCGGTTCAATAGTTCAGCTTAAAGAGGCAGCATGAATGCTACCTGTATGTCTTTTAGAAATTGCATAATACCATATCTAAGCACTAGAACACTTTTTTAGGAGTGCTCTTTAGATTATTTTAGATTGTCAGTGGATGAGGATGGTAGATATTGCAAAGGATATGAAATAAGCCAAGGGCTGTGCTGCCATATCAGTGAAGTGAATATTAAAATCGATGAAGATATGACTTAAAAAATTTAATTTTTTTTTTTGCTTGATTATTCTGATGTGCGTCATCAGATGTGAGATGAGGTAGTTGCATTTAAGTGGAAGCATAGGCCTCCATGCACTGGGACTGGAAGGCTGCATAATCTCCATCCGAGAATGCTGAAAGAACTGGTAGGTGAAATTGCAGGGTTGGGAGCAGAGATTTCCAGTAAAATTTATTGGGTCTGCTGTTGTCTCATGTGAATGGCGAGTTGTGTTGACCGTGCCTGTATTTAGAAGGGGAAAGGCAACTGGAGTTGTTAATTTTATCTAAACAGTGTGCAAAGTTTTACAACAAATTTAGAATGGACGAAAAGTTAAAGACTTGGGACTAACTGGAAAGTGGAATAAAGTGAAATATGGTTTCTTAAGCAAAGGTGTTGCCTTTGCCAGCACTTTCTTTACAGAGTTCTAGTTAATGTCTTAGAGAAAGAAATTCATCTACCTGGATGCCACATTGGAAGCAATTAGTTTATCTAATTGCTAGTTATCTGAGTTATATAACTAGTTTATCTGAGTGCACCCTCAGTAAGTTTGCAGACGACACCAAGTTGGGCGGGAGCGTTGATCTGCTCGAGGGTAGGAAGGCTCTGCAGAGGGACCTGGACAGGCTGGATCGATGGGCCCAG